CCCAATTTAGAGTGCCTCTCCCCACCCTCTCAAACCACTGCCTCATTTTAGCAGCTCCAGCGAGAAGGGGAGACACACGAAACTCCCCCCGAGCCCGGCCTACTTGGCTGATGCGTGCGATTCTCCCGCTCACATGGAGCTATGCGTGTGCAACGAAGCACTTCAGAGCCCCAACCCCATCGGGCAATGAGTTGTTCATGTCACTTCTACAAATACTAGACTGGTAATTGAGAAGGAACATTATAAAATAGAAGAAAAATTTAATTTGCAAAAAACAAAACAAAAAGTTGCAGATTGGCTTAAATACATTTTAGGTTGTCATTAATAGACTATACACATTTTCTTGTTTGAAATAAATAGATTTTGCACATTAAGGTATCAGAAAGGCAAATAAAAAAGCCTCAACTTGGCATGTTTTTTTTAATCTTCAGCGTCTTAATGCTTCTAGTTTGATCTATGCATTTGACCCCAAAAAAGTTGATTTTGTACAGAATTTACATTATACATAGCTTGACACAAGCTGTAAATGGCGCCAGCTTCTCCCTCCTGGGACCCCCACCCCAGACGTTGACTCTCTTGTTGAGGTCTTCTGCTGGCGATTTTTTTTTAAAAAAAGAACTCCAAACTACTATTGTCACTAACAAATTATTTACATGCTTTTAAAGTACAAACAAAACAGCCCCAAACAAACAAAAATGAACAAAACAAAAACCAAATAAAAACAACATGTTTCTACAAGAAACAAGGGTTTCAAAGAGAAGACTCAGAAAGGTTGCCTATGTACAGATGATGTGTCCATTTTAAACTTCAAAATTTCATTTCCCCCCCACCTTAAAAAAAAAAAACTTTATACAGAAATGCACTGAAATGATCCCTGAAAATAGGTCAAAAATGACAAAACTGAAACAATATCCCATCAGTTTTAAAATGTCCCCCCACCCTACCTCCCCATGGCAGAAATAGGCTGTTTGGACAACATAAACAGCTTCCAGAGTTGACTGGCTCCCTCCAGAACTCCCAAGGATGAACTTCAAACTGGAAACCACGTGTGGGGTGAGTGTACGAAAGCTAGCTTAGCTAGGCAGTCTTGGGACTGAAAATATAGAAAGCAATTCCCAAATAACACCGGCGTGAGAAGTCAACGGAAGCCAATGTTGTTCTTCTCACTGCACGCTGGGATAGAAAAGACAAGATGTGGACAACTTCTCCAAGCTATGGCACTCCTCTTGGAAATACAGGTGAGGAGGCTTGGAGCAGGGAGACCTGGAGACCCTGTCTATGGTTATAACTCTCAAGATGCAAGTTGGGCTGTCATTAAACAGCATCTCTCCCTTCTTTAGGATGGGAGAGAACTTGCCAAGATCAAGGAGCAGAAACCTAACCAGGATTAGAGGAGACAAATTCACGGAGAACCTTGGATAGATGAAGGAATCCATCCCCACGTATCACTTGTCAAAGCTTGACAAGCCTTCAACTATACCTTTATCTTCCAATTGTGCCCAATTGCAGCTAAGATTAACTAGCAGAATCAATGTGACAGCTATGGAATCTAGAATATATTTTCCTATATTTCATTTTGCACTTAAAAAAAAGGGGGGTGGGTTCATAAAAGTGAGACAATTCACAAGGACCCTTTCCTGCACAAGCTGCTACATAACATTTCAGAGTATGCCTGTGTGGAGAATTTCCTCGTGGATCACATTCACAGCATGAAAGAGAACAAAGAAGATGATAACCATGTCTGTTCTGAGTTATGGGAAACAGACGTGGCTGTCTCTAAGATTGGAGGCGTCAAATGCCACGCCACTCACGTGCCTCAGGAGAAAGTGTAAGAAACCAGGGAGCAGTGAAGGGAAACTGACCGATAATCTGCTCCCCCTCCTCCTCAATCAAATCCAACCACTCAACCAGCAAGGTCAAAAGAATCACCTCTGTTGATAAAGCAGCTTTAAATGGGTTCTTCCTGCTTCTTCCTGTCCACTAGACTTTGAGAGGGGAATGGCATCCACTTCTATAGGGCACAGACCACAGAACTCCGTTGGCACACCAATCTGTTAAGTCACATCCAGAAAAACTGGCTACCAACATTCTACCATCTTAATGCGAGTGGAATACAGAAGCCACCAGGAGCACATAGACTAAAACCACAGGTTTGTTTGGAGGAGGAGAAGGAAAGGGGGTGTACACATCTAAAATAATTTTTATCCATCCTCTGGTTGCCTCTGCTTTTAATTCAGCCCAGTATTTCTCAACCTTGGCAACTTTCCAATGTGTAGACTTCAACTCCCAGAATTCCTTGCTGGCTGGGGAATTCTGGGAGTTGAAGTCCACACATCTTGAAGCTGCCAAGGCTGAGAAACAATGATCTAGCCAACGTTTTTTTAGCACGGCCAAGTTTCAAGGCCAGAAAATTCAACAAGAGACAGGTGTGCTGCAGGTGGGCTAACATTCCAAGATTTGCCCACCTCAATTTGATTTTAAGAGCCCTGGGCCTAATTTGAAAGTGAACCCTTCAGCACCTCATCTGGCTATCATCCTAGAGAGGAACCCACTTCCCTAGTGTTGGAAGTCAGGTGGCTTGCTATGAGGACAACTTTTGAGGCTATTTTGACAAAAATGTGACGTGTGGCCGGACGTTGGCATCAAGAGCCTTCACTCTCAAGGCCGTATAGCAGCGGCAGCTGGTGGCACAACGAGGACGCAGCCAGTGGACCACCACACAGCCGTCAACTCAGCTTAGCCACCAAGCGAGACCTTGTCCTCCTGAGCTACAAAGATGAACCTGTTTGAACTGACAGGACGTTGAGAGGAACGCAGAGTCATTGCGAGAGAGGACATGGTAGCCTTTGCTTTGGGTTTGGGGCCCTTGAGGGAGTCGAGTCCACCATAGCTCACCGCCTGCTGTGGTCCTCTATGCACTGGGGAAGCGGCGATCCTTCTTCTGTGAATGAGGCCCACAGAAAGGAACGAGGGGTGTCCGGCAGGCAGCAGTGCCTGATGGAGGCTGCCCAGAGTGCGAGGGGCCTCCTCTGGTTTCAAAACCATCATGCAATGCTGCGCTGCTGAGGGAGGAAGGGAGAGACAAACTCTTAGGTTTTCCCAACAAAGGCCGGGATGCTCTTCAGTCTATTTCTGGAACGGGAACGTTTCAAGACAGAGCAAAGAATTCAGAACTTTTCTTTTTCTTTTTCATCCAGAAATCGAAGGCAAGTTTAGGCTGGATGGAACACACACAGCAACCTTTAACCTGGACATTCCCTTAAGAGCTTTGGCTACATGTATTTACTCAACTTATGAACCTCCCCCCTTGCCCCCATCTCCGCTTCACACATTTCAACCATTGACGATCTTTGTCCGGCCACCCCTCAGAGTCCTCCTCCACCCCCAGACCTGTAAATGAGTGAGGAAAAGGTAGCAGCATCTTACGAAGGAAGTAACCTGTTTCAACTAATAGAAAGATACCTTGCTGTTCCCACAGGAGCTATGCCATTACGGAGCCCGCGGGCAGGGAGAAAAGAGATAGTGTTTTGATGTCGGGTGCCATGGAGCAATGGGGACAACTCACTAGAAGACGAGGAATTTGATGAAAAGCACCTGCAGCATGAAACGTCCTAGTGTGTGTGTCTGCAACTTGCACGCCTCCTTGGGGAAGGATTTGTTTTCACTCTCCCACTTTTCTTCTCTTTCTCCACCTCGTTTCTTTTTCCTCCTCCTTTTTGGCAAAAGTGCAACCAAACGCCCTCGGTTTCCACAGTCTGGACGCAGCCAATGCGTGGCCAACAACCAGGGGTTTTTAATTCAGGGTCCCTCGACAGTTCTCGGAGCCGCACAAACAGGGGATCTTGACATCCTCAATCGGGAACTTGTAGTCGTAAGTAATTTCCTCATTCACGCTGATGTGCTGCTTGGAGTAGATGACAATCTTCTTCTGCGACTCCACGGTGATGACTTTAGCGTAACAATTTGGCTGGGGAAGAGAAGCAGAACGGTGATTTAAGATAACCACCTCCCCTCCCCTTAATGTGAGGCTTATGCTAAAGAGTCAGGGCTCTCGAAAACCTTTCTGGTGGATCAACGGAACATGCCAGGCTAAGAAACACTTACGTTGCAACTGTGATTGATAAACCTAGCAAAGTTTCCGCACTTGGTTGCATCTATAATTGTGTCGTGGTCCACTCTGAACATGTAACTGCTCCCAATGCCTTCGTCTTCATACCGCTTCTCTCGCATGTCAGCAATTACCTGCAGGAGAAACCTGGAGTCAGCCCAAAATCTCTTCTCAGGGCGATGGATGGATGGATGGATGGATGGATGGATGGATGGAAGGGAGGGAGGGAGGGAGGGAGGGGGGGAGGGGAGGGGAGGGGAGGGAGGACTGATGGGACCCACATCAAAAGGCTGCTGCTGAAGATAACAGGACTTCAAAGAGTAAAAATGAAAGAGAGGATATCCCCAGAGCCAGGCAGAGCAGGCTACATCCCCCAAAACTGGCATAGCAGTTATAAAATGCAGGCAGGAGAGAAGGAAAGGTCTGTGGTCAAAGCATAGGACAAAGATAGAAGGAAATGGATGCTGCTGTCACATGAGACACAGAGAGTGCTCTCCTCCTCCTCCTCCTCCTCCTCCTCCTCCATTACAACAAATAAACAAGCTGAATGGCATTGCAAAACACAAGCAAAACTGAGAGAGAGATGGCTTGTGGGCTTCCTGGCTGATGGAATATTTGAGCCACGGTCCTCCTGCTTCCAAGCCTA